GAATTTTTCTGGCCCTCCCGAAGCCTTTTTGCTTGAATCACCCGAGCCTGACTCCCTTGCATCATGAGAAGCGACTATGGCTTCCTCGGTTCAGTCTGTGACTGCCAAGCATTTGCAAAGCATCGAAGATGCCATGAACTTTTTGTTTTGGACACCATCACGGCATCCTTAAGAAGCTGAATGGCTACATCTTAAAATGGGAAGACCACCATCAGACATAAAACTTGCATTTCAAAGCACATACTAATTCACATTAATAATTAAGATCAATGAAAAAAAAAGGCGCACGCACTTCAAATGCACCGGCAAAACACGGCCATCGCAGATCGTGCGCGGATCGTGCGCGGGATCGTGCGGGGATCGTGCGCGGATCGTGCGCGGGATCGTGCGCGGATCGTGCACGGATCGTGCACGGATCATGCGCGGGATCGTGCGCGGATCGTGCACGGATCGTGCGCGTCCAGGGTTGTTGAGAACTTGGCTTGGTCAGGGCACAAAAATGGACTAGGTCCAAATTGTGGGGGAATGTCCAGAGGCTACGGTAAATTTACCCTCCTTGCTCAACATACCTGCGCGTACAGGGTTGTTGAGGGGTTAAGGTAATACCTCCTGCCACTATATTTGACATGCTTGGGTAATTTTACCCTAAGCTCTCGTCGTGGCCGTGACCTGAGCTTACCCTAGTCTCTCAACAACCCCGTACGCGCAGGTATGTTGACCCAACAGGGTAAATTTACCCTACCTTCTCGTACAGTAGGGTCATGGACATCATGAGATTGGAGGATCTGTAGACATGTAGTATGTTCTCAACAACCCTGGACGCGCACGATCCGCGCACGATCCGCGCACGATCCGCACGATCCGCGCACGATCCGCGCACGATCCGCGCACGATCACGATCCGCGCACGATCCGCGCACGATCCGCGCACGATCCCGCGCACGATCCGCGCACGATCCGCGCACGATCTGCGATGGCCGTGTTTTGCCGGTGCATTTGAAGTGCGTGCGCGTTTTTTTGCATTGATCTTAATTATTAATGTGAATTAGTATGTGCTTTGAAATGCAAGTTTTATGTCTGATGGTGGTCTTCCCATTTTAAGATGTAGCCATTCAGCTTCTTAAGGATGCCGTGATGGTGTCCAAAACAAAAAGTTCATGGCATCTTCGATGCTTTGCAAATGCTTGGCAGTCACAGACTGAACCGAGGAAGCCATAGTCGCTTCTCATGATGCAAGGGAGTCAGGCTCGGGTGATTCAAGCAAAAAGGCTTCGGGAGGGCCAGAAAAATTCATGACCAAGCCATGAGCCATGTGGCAAAATCTTCAACGATCGAGATAATTCAGAAACCTAGCAAGCCAGTCGCGGTTTGCCATGATGAATTCATTTGCCATGGTTCAAGTGCTGTGTGGCTTCGATGCGATTGAGCCACCCCACCGTTCACAAGGAGCCAGGAGTCAACCTCAGGCCAACCGGGAAGGATTCAATGATTCATGAAAATGAAAAAAGAACGACGATCAAAACATGAAAAATGAAAGGAAAGTTCAAACATATCCTGAACTGTTGATCGTATTGAAAAGCATTGATCAACTGGAAAAAAGACATGTTGCTTCAAACACTGAGGAAAACACAATTCAAAAATATCTAACAAGTACTTCTTCAAAACATCAACCATGATGAACAAAACCATCGCGAACTTCATGAAAATGATGAAAGAAATGATTGTGGACATGATTTGTGGATAGAAATGTCATCTTTAAAAAAATATCTAAGTATTCAGCACATATGCACAATTTTGACATTTCAATCTGTTGCAAAAGCAGCTTTTTCTTGTTTACAAAGTATAAAAGTGACATTTCTCATTTTGCATCACTTTCCCATTCTTCTTCTCCCGTTGTGTCTCCCCGTTGTGGACTCGACTCAGTGGACTCTCGCCCCGGAAAACCTCGGACTGAGTCCACTGAGTCCACCTCCCGGGTCCCGGGCAAGGGCACTGAGTACCACAAAGGGGGACCACAACGGGGGAGACACAAAGGGGAAACAAATCAGAAATTACCGGACATTAACTGACATATATTCTGACACTCAGAGGGTATTAACTGACATATATTGTGACATTTAAAGTTTCATTCTCAATAATACACACATATGAAAATATAATTGCACAAATTAAATAGGAAACATATTTTCTCAAGTCATCATCACGGCACCCCATATTGTACATCGAGCTGTCGATTGATGTATAAAAGCTGAGAAAGCAACACTGGGCGGCACCAAGAGGTAAGTCTCCATTGCCAGAAGTAAATCTCCGTGACCTGAGGCAGAGTGGTGTTTGTTCCTCCGTGTTGCAAGGCACCCTCACGACATCTAACTTTATTGAAGACACCCATGCGGCATCTAACTTCATCACTCCAGACACCATCACGGCATCTAACTTTGTTCTAGACACCATCACGGCATCTAACTTCATCACTCCAGCAGACACCCTCTAACTTCGTTCAAGACACTCACGGTGTGATGGTGCCATGAACTTGATAAGACGCCGTGATGGTGTCTTTTACTGGCGCCTTGATGGTGCCAAAAAAAACGGTAAGATGTCATGGGGGAATCCCAGAGATGGTGTCCTCAAACTTCCATGGCACCCCCCCATATGACTGTTTTCATCCAGGGACGAACATGTTTTGTGGGGTTTGGCACTTCGCTAAACAATCAGTAGCAGCATGGATAGTTTTAGATGGGGTCCAAGACTATGAGACAAAATGTGCTTCATTGATGTCAGATGGTAAGAGTTGGAAAGCCCATTGAAGAAAAACCAAGATTTTGCTTGGCCATACCCATGTCAAGCCCAGGGAGTGGGAACTCCATCTTGGTGGGTATTTCAATCTTCACTGCTGCATGACACTGCCACAGCATCATGAATGCATGACACCATCACGGCATCAATGTTGTGACACCATCGAGGCATCACTTCTTTGACACCATTTAGGCATCATGTTGTGACACCATCGAGGCATCACTTCTTTGACACCATTTAGGCATCACTTCTTTGACGCCATTGAGGCATCATATTTGTGACACCATTAAAGGCATCACTTATTTGACAACACTGAGGCATCAGTACGACACCATTAAGGCATCATTTTTGTGACACCATTGAGGCATCACTTGTTTGACACCACTGAGGCATCATTATGACACCATTAAGGCATCATTTTTTGACTGAGGCTGAGGCAAAGTCGTAGTCGTAGTCGTTGTCTCATGACACTGTGAAGGCGTCATTTTTTGATACCACTGAGGCATCATTATGATACTATCGAGATGAGCATTTCGTAGCTATCAGACGTCAACTTGTGACATCATGAAAAACACCGCTTCTTTAAACTTTATCACGGTGTCAACTCATTCCCTTTGAACCCTTGAACCGTGCAGGTCTTCGGATTATGGTAGCATGGTGGAAATAGTAAAATATTAAGCTGGCGTTTTTCTATTGAAACACATGGGTTGGGTGTAATTTGCCAGGCCTAACCACGCGCATTTTGGTAAAGGTGCATTTTGGAGCAATGTTGTATGGAGGCACAAAAACAAAACACAAACCCCAAGAGCTTAAGTTTTCAGAAAGAAAATGTGAAAAAATGGTGAGCAAGTAAAACCTTTTGGTTTGATTCAAAGCCAAACCTGAGGCTCTTTTGTAAAAATTCAAAGAGCTTTTACAACAACAAAAGATGATTTGATAATATTGTAACCTTGTGTTTTTAACTGCAACTAGTTTCTCTCTAGCTCCGATGGAATGGGAATGTAAACCGAAACTCGGAAATGTTTGATTCGACAAAAACACTGCCAAGAATTGCCCCCCAAGAAATATCGTTGCTTTTTGGGAAAGCCCTGCCCCCCTTCTCTAAGAAGATAAATGCATGTCAAACCTAGCGCTTAAATGCTAGCAAGTTCTTCGCTGAATATGATGCCTATCAGTATACGTCTATGTAAAACCATCCCGTGACAAGTTCTCCACAATTTGTACGTCAGTTTGCAAAACATTTTTAAAACACACATTCACAAGCGTTGCGTAACATGAGTCGCGTTTTTGTTGAAAACCTTTTCTGTGGCAGAGCAGGCTCAAACCGTTTGGAAGTTTTGGGCCAAAACACATCATGAACTCTGATCAATGTTGAAACATTTGAAGCAAAAAGATACCCTCCACCGCTGACCGTCCGGCCCTCCCAAACATGACCAGGAGCCTGTTCGAATCCCACCAGGTCCCCAGGAGTTCCAAAAGCTGTTAATTGAGGAAACCCTCGTTGTTTAAGGAAACCTCTCTTAAAAACTTTTCTTCAGGAGATGTTTTTTCCCTAACTAAGGGAAAACATTGCTTAATTACAGAGAAAGTTTTGAATTCAAGTTTTTTCTTAAATAAGGAAGGTTGTGTTATTTAAGGAACCTTTTGTAAGGAAACATTCCTTAATTAAGGACAAAAAGTTCTTAATGAAGGAAACCTTTCTTAATTCATTTAAGAGAAGAGAAACCTTTCTTAATCTTAACTTGCCACTTTTGGAACTGCTGGGAATCAGTCTACCTCTTATGAAGTCTAACTTCCGGCTTTCTGAAGTCTAACTTCCGACTTTCTGAAGCCTAATTTCCGACTTATGAAGAGGCAGCTGTAGTCGTGGGGTAGATGCTTAGATGCGTGGGTGTTCAAAATCACCAAAAAACTTCAGCAGGCACAAAAGCACAAAGCTAACCACCAACAAGAAATGTCATATGCCGTTGGCTGGCGTCGGATGCATGGGCGACTAACCTCTGCGAAGCCTTTTCTTTGGGACCCCAGTATGGCTGTTCCCGCTGCACGCCTCGCACGTCCATGTTGGCATGACCTGCGCATGGTATTCACTGTGCGTCCTTGGCCGTGGGCGACCGCAACTCTCACAGGGCGGATATGCACAGGCTAAACACCATGCACCCGTTTGAGCTTTTGCACCAAGAACTTCCCCGCACTTGGGACAAGACTTTACCGTGCAGGCTTCGCAGGTCCAGTGCGGCATGACATTGACATGGTACCGACTTTCTTGCGGGCGTTGCAGACCGCACATTGGACACGGCGGGTAACCATTGCGTACACTGCATGCTTGACACAACCAAAGCGGCTTGTACTGGGCGTGGTATCTTCTTTCATGTGGGCGGGGCTCGCCGCAACCTCCACTGCAGGGTGGATATGCACATGTGGCACACCATGTGCCTGCCTCTGCATTGCTCGGCAAAGGGCCGGCACAGTTGGCACATTGTTTCGCTGCATTGCAATGTTGACAAAACCATTTCGGCAGGTGTTTTGCATGGTTGGCTCGTCTTTCGGGGCGTGGCTCGCCGCAACCTCCACTGCATGGTGGATATGCACATGTGGCACACCATGTGCCTGCCTCTGCGTTCTTTGGCAAGGCTGCCACAGTTCACACATTTTCCCTTGCAGTTTTGGCAATACCAGTCGGCTTTCTGCTTGGCATGGTTGGATGCCTTTTGGGGGCGTGGCTGCCCACAACCTCCACTGCAAGGCGGAAATGCGCAGGTAGTGCACCAAGTGCCTGGAGTTGCATTTGCATGCAAGGGTTGAGCACACTTTGCGCAGGTCTTGGGTGCCCGCTCTTGCTTAGCTACGCAGCTGCGGCACACGCCGGTCTGGGATGCTGCACTGTAGTTCACCAGGTGGGACACACTGACGGCTGTGTTGCAATTGCTGCACAAACCCTGTTTTGCCTTTGCTGTCACTGGGGCGACAGCACACTTCTTGCAGCGTGCTCTTCGGAGTTCTTTGGTTTTTTTTCTTCGTGCGATTTCTTCCGGGCTAAAATCTAGCAGGCTTTTTGTTTTGATTTTCTTCCCGATATCACACTTGCTGCACGCTAAGCGAATTTTGGCACACTTCGAACAGTAGCCGGTCTGGTCGGCTGGCAAGGTCTGGCAATATGCGCATGCATTCACTTCCTTAGCCTTCCTCTTGGTTGCAGGGCTGCTCTGCTTCGTTTTACATTGGGTGCATAAGCGACACATGCCGTCTGACAAGACTCGGAACCATTCCTCTTGGTCCCAGGCCGAAACAAATTCTCGAAGTGGCAAAAGTTTTTCCTCTAGGTGCGGTTGTGCGCTACAACCGCGGTAAAACAGCATAATGTCACGATTCCTTTCCTTGTTTGGCTTGTCTTTCTCAAATCGAATTTTTGCCTGCGCCAGTGTCAGCTTTTCACGATGCACCTCTAAGAATGTGTGGGGTCCAATTAACTCTCCATGACTAAACAAGTTGGGGGAGAAAGGTTGGACTATGCACAAATCTTCGCTTTTTCGGACTCTTGATAGGCACATGTACCCGCTGAGTTGTGCCTCGCGGGTGGTCGTGGCATCCCATGTGCCAAGGTCCAATGTGCATGCACCGAGGGTTGCCCCCATAAACGAATGCGCCGTGCCAGCGTAATCGGAGGCTATTGGAAAGCCACGTCGAGAGACTGTAGCTTTGCCGTTCGTTTCCAGCGTCCACGTCTGGGTGACGGGTTCAATCCGAACGACGCCAACCGGCAGGTCTGGGTGTTGTTGCCAGTTTGCCCCGGCCACTCTGACATACAATGCCAGTGGAAGACGTTGTAGCACGATGTCTCGGCCTTCTGCGGTTTCGACGGCGTCTTTGTCGACATCGTGCAGTGTCCAATTCCAAAGGATGCCCCGGGTGTTTTTGAAGAGCCCGAACGCTTTCAGATCAGACAGGGTTTGCGTGACTCGGATTGGCATGTTCTGGAGAAGGGGTAAGATTCCGACGACTCCGCCGGTGGACTGGTCATGGCGCTGCAACCAATTTTCGCGCCGGGCTTGTAATTCCGTCGCCTCCACATGAAAAAGCGGGGTATCTTGAGCAATTATCCAAAGCAACTTGTGCTTGCGAGTGCTTGCGACCCATTTGGCACGCAGGTTGGCTGCAATGTACTTGGCGGCATTCAACCCATGCACGAAAGGATGGTTGAGGAAGTGCTCGGCCTTTGGGTCTTTGCCTACGATGCATCGCCGTGCCCTTTCTTGGTGGCAAATGACACATTCCAACTGGTTGGGGGCGGTGGGTTGAAGATGTAGGTTGTTGCAAGTTTTTTGGCCGCAGCTGGCTTCATTGGTTTGAAAGGACCACGAGCCGGCATGGAGTGTTGGGAACCCGTGTAAGAAAGACCACACTTCCTGCGACATGTTTCCATGCCTCGCCTGGTGAAGAATTTGGCTGAGCCAGGCGTCCTCGCACCGCTGTTCGAGGGTGAGTTCAAACAGGTGTGGGATGGCGAGCGAGGTGTGCGACCAACATATTTGCTGCAGCGCGTTGACTTGGAAACTTGCGTTTGACTGGAAAGGGTTCTGGTAGATGGCTGTGGCTTTGACTGGCGGGAACTGCCACAAGTCCCCGGTCAAGATGAGGTTGCGCCCTCCGAATGGCCTCCGTTCTCCCCCTGGCCGAAGTTTCCACGTATCCCGATCTCTGGTAGACTGCTGCAGGCGTTTCTCAAGAGTGGCCAATATTTCGAGCCCGACCGTCGAAGATTCATCCACCACCAGCCACCGTAGGCGTTGGTATTTTGCGAACTGTTCCGGTGTGCTGGTGTTGTTTGCCCGGGCCGTTTTACTTTTCACCTGGATATTGGCAAACGAGTGTAGCGTCATGCCAGCAATAAGTGCAGCTTGGGTGTTCTGTGGTGCCAAGTATACAAACTCTTGTTGATGCTGCCACCCACACAAATCTTCGAAAAAAGCACGCAACCACTTCAGGGTTTGAGTTTTGCCTGCACCTGGAACCCCGTGGAAGACTGCACGCAACGGCTCACTGCGGGAACTTTCGGCCTGTTCTTCTTGAGCCTCTGTGAGGCAGCGGTCGACGACAGCACGCAGGAATTTCAGTTGTTCGGCTGTGGGTTTACATGCCGACCGCGGCTCTGCCTTTGCTGCGCGCGGTTCTGCACTGGCTGAGCGCTGCTCTGCACTGCATGCGGCTGCATCGACTGCCACCGAGCCCTGCTCTGCGAGACGCTGCAACCATGCCGTGGCAGCCTCTGGCGTTAATTTGCCGTAGGTCCAGCGCAGTGGTTCGGTCTCGGACCACGGTGTCAGTTGTTGCGTTTTGCTTTGACTCCGGTCCAGCTTTATGTCCGTTATTCCACTGTTTACAACCCAAGAGTTTATTGCATCAACCTGCGGAGTAGCTTCCCATTCCTCAACTATGCGGCGTACCGCTGGACCTGACCGTTTCGAATATTCGAAGCCCACACCTCGGACAAGTTTATCGATGGTGTCAGAAGTTACCCAGGTCGTGTCCACTTCATGGTCTGTTGGCTGGGCTGGTGTTTCGGCCAGGTCGACTTCTTCTGGATCACACTCTGTTGCGGACAGAAAGTTTCGAATAGTGCGAGCTGCATGTTCAGACACAACGTGCTGCTGGATATATGCTCTCCATGCTAAATGGTGACTTCTTGGACCAGGTGCTGTCTTGGTCCGCAAGCGCGTACTGGGGTTGAGACTATTACTTCTTATCTCTAAGTCTAAGGCACTGATATGCGGGACATGCGGGGTAGCACTTTTCAGATCAAGTGTCCAGGGCCTCAGATAGACATTGAGGAGCCTCGCCTGTGCATCCTTTGACATGTCGGGCTTCGGCAACGGACAGGTCGTCGGATATGGAATCAGTGGTTCGGTCCGTCTTTCCAGATAGTAATCCTGCACTCGACTGCATCCATGGCACTGCGGTAGCCGGACCAGGTTGGCGGCTCGGCTGTTTGGCAATGGGTCTTTCCAAATGTAATCACGGCCATATTGCCAGCCATCCACAGGTTTTCGGTCGGTGCCTTGCTTACTCACCCAAACACTGAGCCCTTGTCCGTCTTCAGTTGCATTTTTGGTGGGCGGCTGCAATTTTTTTAGGGTCCACCATTTCATAAACTCCCACGGACACAAGTGAAACACTCGCTCGTCGGTCCCTCGCCAGCCATATATTTCCGATGTCTTAATGGTGGTTTTATAGGGGTTTGGGGGTTCTATTTTGTGCCGCACTTCTGTGACGGAGTCTAAGATACTGAGCCAGTCCATGCCTATAAATGGGACTACGGGGAAAGTGCGGATGCATTCGGCCGCGGTGGGATCCGCCATGTTGCCAAAGCCTGCGAGCATGAATTCCTCGGTCACCGGGCGCACAGAGCAGCGAAATTCGAGGTCCCCAAAGACTCGGTGCACAACTTTGCGGTAGTGTGCTGCAGCGTCATCTTTTGCAGCTGCTTCTTCGAGGAAATGCAATTGCTTGGCTGCTTGTTGTAATTCCTTTTTGCCTAACGGCTGCGGCTTCTGCAAGTAGCCGGTGAAGTATCTGGTGGATCGGCGGGCTGCTTGTGCCATTGCCCGTTGGAGTTTTGGGAGCATGTTTTGGGCCAAGCAGCCGCGCTTGCAGTCTTCGTCGTGGGTGTTTGCCGCCAGAGGCACTCGGAAATTTATTGCAGTGTGTGAATTACCAAATAACATGAGGGTGAATGCGTGCATTGTGCCTGATAGCCACGGATCGTCTCTTTTGTCTAAGACCATGCCTAATGCATTTCGCCGCCCGGCAGTGCTCTGGGCAAATTTTCGTGCGTTCCCTCGACATATCACTCGAACTTTATCGTTCTGCACTTTTGGGAAACTGTGCTTACACTTGTTTGGCGCCCCCTTCTTTCGGCAAGCGGCAATAGGCAACCGACATTTTTGCACGATGTTCCACGGATGCCAGTGGATTTGCTGGTGGCTGATCTTGTTCTGGGCTGCGAGACGATATTGGTGGATGAAACGACTTGCGTCGGCTAATGCCTGCTTCGGTTCCACTGCTTTCACCCAGGGGCTGGCCGCTTTGTCTTCGGTCAGGAATTCTGGCCATTGACATAAGAAATCGTGGCTTGCTTTGCAGTTGTTCTGGGCCCAGTCTGCTTCGAGGTGGTCTTGTTTTTGCGTATGGCTTGCTGGGTCGGGATGGGATTCGGCGTGTGCCCATGTCAAGAATTGGCGCACGTCCTCGAATGTGATGGTGCTGTCATTCAGCTTAGCTGCAAGTTCACTCAAAGAATGTTGCCAAATGGAAGCGATGTACACGTTGCAGTGGAAATGCGGTGTCGAATTAGCTTGATATTCGATTGCCCCGCATAGGCCGGTGACAAGGCCAAGGATGCCCCCCGTCACATGACACCCGTGTCCGCGTGCATCGCGGCAATCGCAAGCTGGGCAACGGAAGCACATACGAATGCCGAGCAATTTGGCGAAGATGCATCGCACCACTGTTTGGAAACTAAGCACGACGGCCCAAGGATCCCTCGCAGCGAGCTGTCTGCGGGTGTCGTAAGGTGGCACTTCGATGGTCGCCTCTGCGGTGTCCCATAGCTGGGGGCGATCGCGTGCTCCTTCTTCAGCTCCGCCAGGATCGGCGGCACGATAGCGGCTGAATTTGATGCAGAGGGTGTTATGACGGGTTGTTGGAGATATGGTGATGAAGAGAGGTTCTCCCATCTCAACCCTGGCCCCGAAGAGGAAACGTCCAATGCGACGTCGGACTTCAATTGTTCCAGGCATATGGCCTTGCATGCCTTTAACGTCCTGGAGCAACTCTTTTTCATCTGTTGTGAGGCCTCGGGCGTAGGGCAATTTGCGTGTATCGAACTGGATGGGTTTCGGCTTTCCACTTGCTGTGGTGTACGTGCCGGATCTGAGTTTGTTGTAGAGGCCGCGCGCCGCTTGCACCCACTTGAGCGTTGGCACCGGTGCAATGGCTTGCCGCTGTGACTTCCATTTCCGCCAAAGCGAGCCTTGCCACACGGAATGCCATTTGAAAGTCAATCGTCTCAGCCCGGGAATCAGGTCCCATGAGTTGCGAATTGAACTCTCAATGCGGCCGGCTAGGAGTTTCAAGTGTGCCAAGGGCGGCAAGTGCGGCGCATCGGCGGGCCTTCGTGGTCGCTCTTTATGGGGGAAGTCCGGACCACTGACGGGTGCGGGGATGCTGAAGGGAAAAGCCCATGGAAGAAAATCATTTTGCCACTGGTCCCAGAAGTTGTGCCCGGTTTGAATGGTGAGTGTGTCAGTCGCATTGCCTAATTGCAACAACATGTCGACGTCGGGGTCTTTCCACTCTGCACCCGTATAATCTTGTGACAATACATTGGGTCTCACACTGCCTACGAAGGACTCGCCATCCAAAGCTGTGTCTGGGACTGACTCGGGCGTTGCATGCTTCTGCGGCAGCGGCTGGCTTACGTCTCCACTGGCACCAAAGAAATTCCTAGCATGGCTCGGACGAGCTGCTGTGGCCTTTTCATCGCTCTTGTCTGCTGTGGTTGCCTGAGCGCTGCTCTGGCTTCTCACCTGCCGCGATGGGTTGTCGTCGGGCGAGGCATCCCGCTCATGCTTTGCATGCACTAATGGAAACTTGCTGTGGCTAGGTGTTGACACTGTAACTTGTTGCTCCTGTGACGAGGCCGAGTCTGCTATGACTTCAGCTGTCACCTGAGGGCTGCCTTGATCTTTTCGCTCTGCTACCATCTGGCGTGTTCGGTGGGTTGGCATATCGTGCATGGTTGCGTTGTCATCGCTGTGGCTTGTATGCTGTGGAAACGTTTTGCTGTACACATAGGCTGTCTCTTCGGATTGCAGCTGGGACACGATCTTTGGGGATGCAGTTTTCACACGAGAAGGCTTGAAATGTTGCACCTCAGACGCTGGCTGAGACGAGCTCTGGCCGCTCATCGTTGGAGAGTCAGTCTCGTTATTTGAAATGGTTGGTTCTGAGTTCACATTCGCTGCTGCCTGAGCGCTGCTCTGGCGTCGCATGCAGGGGTATGCGCCTTTTGATGGCACAGTCGGTGAAGGAGGTTGCTTCCAGTCGACTATGGGCCTTGTTTCTTCCACCCCATAGATCAAAGTCACACGCTGCGTCACTGCTGTTTTTGCCTCCTCTGCCGACAAATGCGAGGTACACATTGGATGTTGCATGTCGATGAGGTGATGCAAGAGTGCACTGACGACCCATGGTCGGATGCGTGCCCCTGCTACCCACTCGATGGCCTCATTGTATAACATACCCTTCACATTGACTTTTACAATAGCTTGGAGGACATGTGGCGGGTGAGGCAACTTTTCCCAAGAGGCGTTCTGCCGAGTCTCGGGGGCCAGTGCAGCAAGTACCTCTTCCCATGGAATGCTAAAAGAAGACACATTGCCTCGGATTGCGGTCCTGTGTTCGGGCCGATGCAAATGTTCTTCTATCAAATTGCCTCGGTCGGCTTCCAGGTAGTAATTGATGACGGAAGTCCAGACCGGAGAGGCAGCCGCCGCTTCTATCCAACGCACTTTGTGGGTGTACAACAACTCTGTTGGGTATCCAAACCAATTGTCGTTTGCAAGGGCTTCTGGCACTGCACAGGGGTTCTGTTTCGACATGTGTTCTAGGCAACTGCGACACAAGGGTAATTCGCACGACTCACACAGTTGCAGCGCACTGTCGGGGCAACGTCCACAGCGAACATCCTCTGGGCAGCATATGAGTTGCATGCCGTCGCAGATAGTTTCCGGCAGGGTTCGAGTCCACTCCTGTGCTTCGAAGCGATTTGTCACAGCAGCCAGCGTACCATATTGCGTCATGTACCTGTCCAGGTTCCAATTTGCTCGGATCGCGTCTGGGGTAAGTGCATTGAACAAATGTTTGACAGAGATGTAGGCAATCTCCCCTCCCATGCCTCCAGGACTCACTCGGGCGCAACAGGCGCAAATCAATGCTTGGCAAGTGTTGTCGTCCAAATCGACCCGTAGTCGACGCAGCGTGCGCCGATCGACGCTCCAGCCAACCTGTGGGACCTGTCCACGCTCCTTTTCTAGCAATGCAGCAGTGTATGTTGAAGCCACAAATTCACGGGGTATGTCTGCAAAGTGTTCTGAATGACACGCCTGAAGGTGTGCCCACAAACACACCACTTCGTCCCCGCAGCACTTCAATGTAGTGTGTGCCCATGTTGTTGCTTTCATGTTCCATACTTTTTCCTTCGACCAGTGCGGGTGGCACGGTTGTGTGTCGGATGCCCACCCGCATCCCTCAAAGGCACAATGCACGGCTGGGTATACGAGACCACTGTTTGGCTGCACGGTGGGAAATTCCGTCATCGCGGCTGGAGATGGCAGCAGAGGATGTTGTCGCAGTTGGAATGCTGTGCGTCGAATGCGTTCTTGGTCACGATCTTCGACAGTGACCCATGTCTTTGTCGCGTCCACGGCGACTTCTACTTCAGCGTCATCTGTGGTCTCGGACAGGTTTGAATCCCAGGAAAGCACGCTTTCAGAATCCACGTCGGTTGCTGCACCCTCCGACGCTTCTGCGTCGTCATGCCCTTCCCAGACACCAGTGGCTGCCTCTTTGTCGGCTTCAGTTGTGTCATGCACCTGCTGCGACCGATTTGGCTGCCGCGTTGTTGCATCCCATTCTGTCGCAGTGGTGCGGCTGGTCTGCTGCGATTGCCCGGCTGCCTCTGCTGTTGGCCGCTCTGCATCCCCTGCGGCATGGGTGTCGCACACTGCACTCGGATCTGCAACGTGCGCTGACTGACTCTGCGGCGACATGGGTGACACTTCCACTGGGTTTCGGAGGCTTTCTGCAGCAAGACACAACACTGCTTCTGCACTCTGTGTTCTCCATGTTTCCAACCATGGTGTTTCAGGGAATGGTTCGCGCAATGCTGCCGCGCGTTGGACGAGATCATAGTGCCCGGTGATGCCAGTGTTTCGGTGGAAAAGTTCTAAGACATTTGGATGTTCTTGCAACTTCTCTTGTGTTTCTGCATCGGTGATGTAGGCCATGTCCCGGATCCAAATGTTTTTGTTCTCTTCTTGGCTCCAAATGAGACAGTGAAAGTCAAAGGCTTGGGTGAGGGCCCACAATTCTACCACGGACCCATGGTGAATGGAATCTAACATCCGTGGCTTTTCCAAAACCGCCACCACTTTACTCCAAAGCACGATTTCGGCAGCTGTCAAACCTTCTGCTGCCTCCAACTGCTCTGCTTGCTGAAGGAACCCCAGGTGTAGGCCTGCTTCTCGGTCATCAAACGGCACACTGGCAATCGCAACCTCATCTGCTCTGGGTCCATTCTTTTGCTTACACATCCATTCTAAGGCTTGCAAGTATAACTTTGCAGCTTCGGATACCGACCACGACTGCCAACCGCGACAATGGCGAAGTACGGCATGGAAAAAACACCAACCGTCACCAGGGATTTTGATTAGCTCACACCCTATTCGGGTCTGCACACGGACGGCAATTTTCCGGTCCTCATCCTCCTCCACTTCTTTCTGGACACTCGGGTTGCTAGGTTGTGCTCGAAGCGAGGATGCGGCATCCACTACGTCTGCAACTCTAGCTTTCTTGCTCGCTACGTGATTGCTGCCGGCACTCGTGTCTATGCATTGGCTGGGTGTGGACTCTTCTGCTTGTCGTCTGTTGGCTTTCTTCATCGTGTTGCCATGCATTGCCGCATCAACTGGTTTCTAAGTTTGCGAGAGGTTGACCATGCGTTTCTGACTGGTTGCACTGCTGCGATGTTTCCCTGGCAAACGCATTCCACACAGACCCAACTGGCTGGTGATAACAAGAAGATGGCTGCAATCAACATTTGCATTCTACTTCGTGGCGATCCTGGTTGCCGCCTTGCTTTCACCCGAGCGTTGCCCACCCGACGTGCTTTCCTGACCCACCCACTGCGCAGTCGTGCACTGGCTAGAGCACGTTGCGCTTGGCATGCAAAGACACAGGTGAAGAGATTTACTGCAAACACGAAATCTAGCTGCTTTGTGCTGGCACACAAGCATGCTGCGGTGACTGCCATGCCCCAGCTCAAAGATGTATATTTCCCCGGCAACCTCCGAGTCCAGTGTGTGTGCTTGCTGGCTCGGTTGCGCGACCCCTTGCCACACGCAGCCTGCACTGACTGCCGCCGCGCCCA